ACGGGCTCCGTGGCGCGGATCCTCCCGGAGGCTCTGCGGTGGGCAGAGGTGTTCCGCCTGCCGAGCCGCTCCCGGGAGCACCGGCGTGTGCAAAGAGGCAGCGTCCGGGGGCTCTCTGCCAGCCTGGTGTGTTCTTCGTGTGCGACGTCGCTGCATTTCACATGAGCTGTTGTCACCGAGCGGGGCAGGCGGGGCGAGCAGAAAAGGCAACGTTTAAAGAAGCAGCCACTTGGCCACCTGTGCTCACAGCCCGGGACTCCTCCTGGCCCTGCTCCCTGTGCAACGGCAGCAAGTTATAAGGGAAACTCCAGCCCTAGTAACTAGAAATGGCCCCAGGTCCGGGGTGCTGATACGGGAGCATCTTGCTGTGACACGGACAGGGGTTCGCAGCTTTCCTGGGCGCTGCGGGGTTCGTCTGCCGGCTCCACTGCGCTCCAGGCTCGCTCCAGTAGAAAGGATTTCCCTTTTGGGAAATGCGGCCTCGTAGAGGGCCATAGAGCCCCCTGAAGGACGCTCTGCTCCTTGGTGTCAGGAACGCGCTCATGCTGGTGCACCCCAAGGTCTCCCCCGGCCGGGCCGGGTGAGCAGGGGCTCCCGGCGGAAATCCAAAGCTTTCCTGCTGGGAAAAGCGGCTCCATAGGAGGAGACTGTGCTGAGCTGGGCGTTTGGGCTGACTATCCCGCAAAAGCCTTAATTAGCCCCGGGTGGAGGGTGACCGGCACGAGGCTCGTGCTTGGAAAATGACTGCTTCTGTTTCCAGGCCCTGAGTCACGGCTGACACCGGCGCTGGCCGCTCTTTTCCACTCATGAAGTGTGAGCCATGACCCGGCCTTTATTTATAACGCGGGGAGCGGCACGTGTCGGCGGCTGGAGGAGCCAGGCGGTGGGCGCGAGCGGGGCAGGGCTCGGCCCCCTCTCGCATAGATCTGCTTTTAACGAGCGTTTCCCAAAGACCTGGCGGATCCGGAGCCTCCTGCTCGCCCCGCCGTGCCAGGGACCGCGCTCTCCCTCGGCAGGTACTGTATTTCCTCCCACGTTTTGTTCGTCTCCTCTGGGCCGCTCCGGCCTGAGCGCAGCCCCGGGCAGCGCCGGGCGCCCCTGCCCCAGCCGTGCTGCTCTGCGCTCACCGTCCGGTCGGTGTCTCAGCGTTTTGGGGAGGAAAAGCAGCACTGGTGGCTCTGCAGGGACCGGCTGGAAGTCCCTCTGCTCCCATCTGCTGCTTTTGAGTTCTCGTGTCAGCCAGCGCTGCCGATCCAGCTTCCCTGGGCTCCGCTGAGGACGGATCTGCCTCCAGGCTGCCCATGTGGCACCGTCCTCAAGCACCCCCTTCAGGAAAACGCCATCCCAACAGGAGCGGGGTGGTACAGGGAGGGAGATCCCAGCGCTGGAAGAAGCTGCTCAGGACGGGGACATAGGGTCCCCGTGAGCTCTGGAGGCGACACGTGTCCCCTGCATCTCCCTCCTGGCCGAGCTAGTAATGGGGCTTGGGTTTTTGGAGAATCCCTCCACTGGGAGTTGGTCTCAGCTTGGGAAGCACTCGCTGTCCTTCTTCTGGACCCCTGGAGAGGTTCAGGTGTTTCCTGGCCTTGGAGTCTCGCCCAGATTCCTTGGACTCCAGGCCTACGTGGCTGGAGGAGGTTGGGAAGGGCCTGGGCTCCCAGCCGCAGCGTGGGGATGCCGCAGCCGGCTCCGCGCACGGCACAGCCGCACGGCGACAGGGACGAGCAGTGCGATGCCACTGTGGAACAAAGGCCAAACCCGCTGGCAAGTTCCCGGGCCCTGCTTGCAAGTCCTGAAAAGCAGGACAGGTCACTGCAAAAACAGCGTCCTCACCCGCTCCCCTTGCAGGGCTGCGCGGGAGAGGCCGCCCGGGGACACGGCGGTGGCCGGCGCAGTCCCGGGGCCGGACGCGGCTCCGCGTCGGGAGTGGCCTGCGCCCCGGGGGGGCAGGGCGGGCCCTTGCGCCCTGCTTTTTGGGGGG